AATATTAAGGAGAATGAGTGTGAATTGTTAAAACGAATGCCAGCTCATCTATAGCACTCTTACTCCATTTAAATATTTAAAATCTGTTCCAGTGATTCAGTTGCAAGCGAAAGACTTTAAGGGACATAGCGTGTATGAAATTTAAAAACAAGTCGGTTGTTTTGAAAATTACGATATGTTATAACTTCAAAAATTAAATACTGAAATTTTAAAATGATATCAGAAATAATTTTTGAGTTACAGCCTTCCAAAGAGTAGCCGCTTAGTTGCACCAGTTTACACTTAAAGATATGTAAACGCGGTTTTCCGTAAATTGCATTATTTAAATATGCTTGACTGATTATTCGAACATAGTTGGTCCGAACACTATAAAATTTCCTCCTAACAGTTTTCTGATCTGAACAAAAATCAAGTTTTGGATGATCAACATATTGGGTAAAATTCAATTGTTTTTTTCACGTCAAAAATTTGTAAAATTTTGCATTTTTTTCAGCCGTTGGTCACTGTGTGGACAATAACTTTTATCAAAGATTTTTTTAGGTCTTATCCATGGAGAAGGCCGATATCACTGTAGCAGTGGTATAACGGTTTTTTTAGCACCGTCAGAGATCACGAGTTACTATTTTATCTTAAATATGTATAAATGAACCCTTAGAATTAAAAATCGTCTCTTTTCTTAAATTTCGAAGATATCATTTAATTTACTTTATGATAGCTTTTTTCCAGTTCGTTCCATTAGAAGAGTTTCCCGTTCTTATGAAGGAAAACTTTACTCATTATTACTCTTATGTATTATAATTTCGAATTGAGTAATAGAATTACTTCACTGTGGGGAACTCATAAGGGCTGCATGCTATAAAATCACCAACAACAGTTGCTGTGTATATTAAAGTCAACAAGATTACTATAAATGGAAATATTATCATCTATGCTGCTGTTACAAATATGTCAACCTGCTGTACCAGTGCCAACGTGCTCATTTGGAAAATGGAAATTCATTATTTTCGGCCGAACAAGCGGGTTGCTGTAGGACATTTTGAAGTAATTTTAGACACGGAGCTTTGGTATCAATTCATAATCAAGTTTTGGAACTAGATTAGGTGATGTTCAACAAGCGATTTCTTATGAGTATTTAATAAAAAATTATATTTTCGAAAAGAGCGAATAAGATAGGATTGTCAGGCTTTAAATTAAAAATGCTTTGTAATAAGTAGAAGATAAATATAATTATCATTTTTCTTTATTATAAGCTATAATTTTAAAGAAAAAATGTTTGCATTCAAGTGTTAGTTATAGATTATTTAGACCAGAGAGAGAGGGAGAGAGAGAGAGAGAGATAGTGATAGAGCGAGTGAAAGAGAGTTAGTAAGTACTAACCATTGTTAGCCAAGTATTAGCTCATCATTACAAGTTAAACCGTTTCGAAAAGAAATTTAAACCGATATTTTATTTCAAACTGCAACAATTTAGTCGACCAGACCAGTCTCGCTCTTTCTTTTCTTTAGTAAAATTTTCGCTAATATCGTCGAGTAAAAAATTCGAAGAACTACCCCAACTACCAGTTATTGCAAATCAAATCAATCAATAATGCGTTGAAAACAGCTGAAACTGTGGAGTGAAAGCAATCTACCTGTTGATTGATTAAACTCGCTCATTGCCAGAATTTTGCAACCGCTAAAAGAATCATCCTCACCGATTACACACCTGCGTCATTTAAGTATATAGAATGTGTAACGGTACTTTGCGTTTTTTCGTTTACTTTGCCGCCATCAGTTTTATGGCTTTTATTATGTGCAAAAAGAGTGAAAAGTGTAAATTCACACCTGCTGAAGCCAACACACGCACACACAGCGACAAAGCGAAATTTCCATGGAAAAAAGGCGAAGAGTGCAAACAAATTGGCGTAAACAAATTTGCACAGAGCTGGTGCTGTAAGCTTTATAAGCGAAAATACGTAAATAAAGGCACAAACAAAAACAAAAACGACTACGGCAACAACAATAATAATAACAATTTCACGTGTAAATATTATCACGAGCAGCATAGTGCAACGGTGTGCGTGTGGGTTGCAGGAGTGTGTATGTCTACGCGTATTCTAGAATTGCAGGTGCGCATACATATATACACACATACATATATAGTATGTATATATTTAATAGCACGTATTGTAATATCAGTATATCTTCTACTCTTCTAGCCTTCCACGGCAATTATGGTGATTCTAAGTTTCTAAAATTTACAATCCTTGGTATCTGAAATCTTTTTTTAACAACAAGTTACAAAAGGTTTACAATTGTTTGGCGAACTCTGACTGGAATTGATTTTTGGCGAATTCTGTATTATTTATTTTCCAACAAAAATAAATCCAAGTGTGGGTGCCATCTATTTGGTTAATCAAAATTAAAAATATTAGATTCTTTGAAAAATGTTAATTTTTATAGTGAAAACCATTTCCAGAATATCAAGTAGTGTTGCCAACTTTAAAAAAAAAAAAAATTAATAAACAAAAAATTTAAGATATCTCTTTGTAAATAATAAAATATAATTCTAAATTTTGTGTAAGATTTTTAATATAGTAGAATTTCAGACAGTGCAGCCATCTATAAAAGATATACGATTGTTTTCTTAAAGGTAAAATGGGTAATTTTCAATATTTGGTAGTGAATATCAACGAAAAATACTTACATATGTATTCAATTATTTAGAGTTGCAAATTTTGCAATTTTTTAAATTTCCTAAGTTATGTATGATATACTTGTACAAACGCTAGTGCCACTCTAAGAGTTCAATTTAACTAATTCCAATTTTTAACAATTTAGTTTCACATTTTGTCTGAAGAAAGCGTCTGAAGAAGCTTACAGCTGCAACCGCCAACCAATGAGGAGCATACAAAGGAACTCCAAGAGTCCAAGCGGTGCTAGCCAATTTTAAGCTTGAACCGCCAATAGCGGCAGCCAAGAGAAAACGCCGAAGACAAAGGGTGTGATACCCTCTAACTCGTTTGCTGATGTGGTCCGGAATCGCAATAACCAAACAAAATGATTGTGTGAGACGCCGAGAGATCGGTCCAACTCTATAAAGCCGTAAGAATATGTAATATATGCCACTTTTATTACTATTACAGAAAATATGACTAAAAATTGTTTAAAAAAAACTAAAAAATCCTCAGAACAGAGTTGCCGCTATGCATTAAAATTAATAATTTTTTTAACCAATACATCTCTTATATTCACAGCCAAAAAAATAAACTCACACAAATACTTACGCGTTGCAAATACGCTGCCACTCATGAATTAAGCCACCGGCAAATTGCTGCAATAAAACTGAACATTTTCATAGTTTACGTAAATTTTCATGCTTTTCGCATGTTTTTATTTATTTTTATTCATTTTTCTCTTGGGTTGCACATATGTATGTATGCATGTAAGTATTTTTATTAGAGATTTCATTATAAGTATACTCTGATGTATGTAGTAGTTTCAAGTGTGGTATACAGTTACCAGTATACATATGTATGTATGTACTTATGTAAAGGATTTTTGTAAGCGGTGCAGTCGACTGCTGACGATTTATGCGCTGTGGCTTCAACAAGTTTTATAGTTTTTTGATTATTCTTTCGTCTCACATTTTGCTTTGCGCTTCAATAGCGGCGCTCAATGGTACTTAGAGAGCTTCAAGCTATTTGCTTGCTGTAACAATGTTGTAATATATTAGTACGATTTGTTTGTATTGTTGTAATTATGTACTTTGATTTGTATGGTATGCAATAAAGTGGTTATGTAAGTATGTATTTATGCCTTTTATTTGAGCATTTCCTTGTTTGTAAGTGTGTATAAATATGTTGTTGTATTTGTGTAGTAAGTTTCAACTATTTAAGTTGTAAGTGGTGAAATGTTTTTTAAATTTTATTTGTTCTTTATTGCGATTATTTGCTGTTGTAGTTTAAATATTTTTGCTTTATTTGAATTCGAGTAAATATTTGCAGTTTTGTTTTTAATTGTCTGCATTAATTTGATATTTATTTTGTATATTTCAACTTTGATTATTAAAAAGACTTGCTTAGTACTTGAAATATTATTCGTGTTTGAAGCTCAAAAGATGTTTATTTGGTTAAAAGTGTTTCTAAAAAATCTCGTGAATATGAATGAAACAAAAAAATTTTAACTGACTTCAACTATCTTGGCTTTTTTGTATTATTTTCGTGTTAAAAAGTAACAATGTAATAATGAATTTGAAATTTCGAAAAATAATTTGACTAATAAGTTAAGAAAAGAAGCGAAAATAAAACAGTAAAGTATACCAAAAGGGAATAAAAGCAATAAAATATGCGTGGGATAGAGGAGACTAAGCAAGTACAGAATATTTGCAGTCTTTAATCAGTTGTAAAATTTAATGGTTTTGAAGAAACAAAATTGAAAAGATGGCAACCCTACTCGAGTATGATTTTCAACTATAGGCGTAAACATTTGGTATCGCAAAGGACCAAACCCGGTCTATATGTGGCTCACTAGCCGACAATACTAACCTAAGCTAATTTTTTCTTGTAATTTTATACTATCTGTGTAATTTTATATCGAACAATAGAAGAAACATTCACCTCGGCTAAGCTTTGCATTTCTGGCGCTCTTTCTATTTGGAACTTGACAGAATTTCCACACACTTTGTAGTACAGCGATTTTCCAAATGTTCTTAGAAAATTTCATAATATTTGTACAGCCTGCAATCACTTCTTGTTATACCAGCCGCTTGAGTTTGAGGGTTTCCACTTTCTTGCCCTTTTACATTTTTATTACATTATGCCCAGAGCAAAGAGTCAGAAAACTAATAGAAATATAATAAGCCAGATTAAAGGTAAGCCTGTAAAAAAAATGAATGGACCAATTGTGTTTTATAAAAATAAAATTAATTAAAATTTTGTTATATAATATATGAAAATAAGGTTTTAATGAAAAAATATATTAAAAATGTTAATTGAAAACTAAATTTTTTTTTTTAAGTTCTAGGTTTTTTAAAAAATTATTTTTTATACGTATAAATTACTGTTATTTAGTTTTATTAAAACATGCTTGAAGCAAACGTGTAAGTTTATGTAGTTTTTCTGCTTATGCTATTTTTTGTATTTATGTATAAATTGTGGTATATGTAATTGTTAGTGTAACTGTATATAAATTTAACATGCAGTCAGAAATATTTGTGAAATATTAAGTCACAACAATATTTTTACAATACAATTTACAAAAAAACTAAAATATGTTCATAACTAGTGGTATTCATTTTAGTTTTATTATAAGTATATATGTTATAATAGTTTTATTTGTATTTCGTATAGGTAGTTTCACACAAATCAACATGGACTATTTTACAGTGTTGATAATTATATATGCAGCGCTTTAGAAATCTTTAGTTTTCTTTATATATTTTTTTTTAATTTTTTATCGAAAATTTTAGCTGCTAAAAGCTTGGCACATGCTTGCTGCTGCTCTTACAAAACGCCCCGCCCACTTCCAGCACACACACACTTGCATATCTATTATAGTATGCTTATGCATGCGCTCTTTTTAAATGCTAATCCAGGTTAAAAAATTTATTTAACTTTTTTAAAATTACAGTTTTAAGTACTTTTCAACATACAAAATTTTCATTTATAAATACAATAAATACGCTTGTTAAACAATATTTCAATAATATTGATTAGTTTTTTTTTTATAAATTTTTTGTTTAACGCTAAACACTGTAGTTGTACATATATAAATATTATTTGTTGTTTTTATTTATTTTGTGCTTTCACATTAACAATGACAAAAAACGCAACAATTATTTGTATTTATTATTAATTAACAGCTTAATTAAGTTAATTAGTAAATTTAATTTGATTTCACATTTCATGTTTTGGTATGTTTGTTATACATTTAAAATTTAAGTAAAAAAAAACCAGCATTAAAAATGCCTCCTCCAAGCTATTGACGTAAAAAAACAATTAAAAAAATTTCACTTCAATAATATTGACACACGCACAAGAGTGGTGAATTTTTGTTGTTAATATATAATTAAAAACAATTCAACTCAGTATATTTATTTTCAAAAGTGTTTTCAAACGTTATGACACTAGCCGCCTTCGATTCGCCACTTCTCCGCTCGCTTAGTCGAACTCTACTCTCTCATCTCAAAAAAGTGAGAAGTTAAATTCAATACAAGAGAGCTTGTACTTTATATTTAACAATATCTAATTGTTTGATTATGTCAATTTATGAGATTTATAACAGTTTTTTCTTCGATAGGCTATTTCGGGTTTTAGGCTTAGGCGAATCAAAGGCTGCTTTTAAGAAATAACTTTCAATTGCAAGATAAGATTCTGACTCAGTTTCTTTACCAACGAAGGAGTCTCCAACCTCAAGCAACCTTATACAAAAGTATTATAAAAATATTTATTATTTTTAACATAATTAGCTATCATACTAACAAATGCTTATATAAAATACAAAGTTATGTAACCTTGCATGCCTTATTCTCTTTGAAATACGCATACATATCAGGTTTATTCCGATAGCTCTAGTTTACTCAAACTATGGCTCCTTCCAGGAACCCACACTTTTCTTCAAAGGATTTCATCTTATAAGACATCACTTTCGAGTTTTACACGCTTTTTTAAAAACCATTTATGTATTTTTAACTCTTCTCTCTCTCGCCTTACTGAGAGTTTTACCATTATATTCATCACTTTATGTGACCACTAGTCCATATAAACTATGCCTTATTATTATATTTCTTAAAAAATATTAGAATGCTTAAGCAATTTTTCTTAACAAATTTTCTTGTTTGAGTTCATCAACTTAACGGAGATAGTTTAAAACACGTACTTCATTGAACCGAAGTTTCCTGAAAACCTTCATCTGGCAAAAATCTCAACAAACTCAACAGCGTTCTTCTTTCCCTTATTATTTTCCTTTCGCTATTCTTTCTTTTATTTTGAAAAGTAGTGCTTACATTTTGTCCTTTTTCTGTTTAAGTAGTATGCCTACATGAGCTGTAGTTTAGACTCTCTATTAAACCATAGATTTCTTAAGAGCCAAACTTTCTAGCTTACGGATATTCTGATTACTCATGAAAATATCAATGTCAGAATCCTTGAAACGAGACTTAAAACAATTCCAGTTATTTTTTTCGGAACTGTTTTCTTGACCAGAAATTAATCTCAACCAATCGTTCAAATGTTTTCGAATATGAAAGTTTAAGGCGATCGCGGTTGAAGCAATTCATTCTCAAGCATATCTGAGAGTCTTGGTTAGGTAAGCTCCGTCGTTTACTCCAGATATCAATCCTTCTTGTCAAAAGAGTGTTCAATTTCACATATAACAATCGAACTAACATATTTGTAACGAAATTCCTACAGTATTGTGCATAGTGAATCCTCGCCCTTAAGAAAACTCCATGTCGTACTTCGTTTTAGAATGCTTAAGCCCATTCTATATATTCATCACATTTCAAATGTATACTTAACATTACTTACCACATACTAGGATCTGTCTACATTAATAAAAACTTACTCTTAACTACTGTTATAAAACTGCTCTGTCAGGACTTCCACACCAATACCTACTATTTAAGGGTTTCTGTATTTATTCGTATTAAAAGCTAGCCTTCTACTTCAAACATATCTTCGTTGCTTAAATTAACCCAATTAGGCACCTCGTTCAATAAAGCATGCACAATTTAGATCGTGGCACCTAAACTCAAGTCTTACCGCACTCACCTCTTCACAGTTCGGCGAATATATTCTCCCTGAAGTCCAGCTCTGGATGCGCCGAATGCGATGAACCATGACTGTAGTCGCGAGACTTCATGGAACTGCGCGCCGAGGAAGAGAAACTGGACGTACGTCCACTACTACGGCGCATACGTCCCTCCACCACTGACATCTTAGACAGCGGCTGCGTTGGATCAAGCTCACCAAATGCGCCCGCAATGAGATCGCTGCCATTTAAGGAGTTGAAGCTGTCACGCTTCGAAGTGCGATGTGAATTTGAGCCTTGACTGTGATGCGACGATTTGCGGCTTAGACGACGCGAGTACTGATACTGGTAGGCGGAAGTGGGTGTGTTGGCTGCCGGGCCGCCGCCGCTACTTGCATATGGCACCGAATTGGCAGCGCCCGGCGTATATTTGTCGAAGAAATCGGACGGCACTTCTTCGTCGACATCTATGCCACTCTCACCTTCATCGTCACGTGACAGCCGATGCACTGCCATACCGTCATCACCATTGAACGTTGACGCAACGCTATAACCGCCATCATTCGTGCTGCCGCCACTACTAATACCACCGCTGGACTGCAACGGATCACTGCAGAGTAAAGAGTTCGGTATGCTGTCCTTAACCGTTGCTGTAGACGGTGTCGGCGTCACCTGTGAGGACACATCATAACTATACGGATCGAGTTTTGATTTTGGCGAGCGCTGATAAATCTTTTCGATATCGGGCAGCTTGCGTCGTTCACCCACCGTCATGCGTACCGTCTCACCGTGCTTTTCACGCTCAATCATTTCTTGTATGTCCATGCTACGTTCACGTTCCAACATATCGATTATCTCCATGTCGCGTTCCAACGTACTGGCTGTGTCCATATGTGAGAAACTGCTGCAATCGCTAAATGATAAATCCTTGTTGCGTAATAACGGTTGACCGCTGAGGCTCCACTTTTTATGTTGCATATAGCTGACGCCATTTTGTCCGCCGCTTGGCACAATCATGCCACTCATTATTGAGGAGTCTTCACCGTCGCCAAAATTGCTTGCACCACCATCATCCTCCAGCAGACTACTAGCGCCATTGCAGTAGGTCGAAGAGGTCATATTCGAGCAGGAGTTATCCAATGAGCCAAGCGTCAATTTACGCTCAGCAACACTACCACCGCCACCGCCGCCACCGGCAACACTCTCGCGTCGACTGCCGCTACTCACGCTGCCGCTCTTCACTGCATGTTGTGCCTGTAATTGCCCAGCACCGCCAATGCCTGCCAACGTTGTCTTATTTCCTTTGCCACCATCCGATATTATCTTAATCTTCACATCATTCTTCTTCACACGCACATCCTTTGCCAGCGGAGTCGACTTGCCGTAAGCATGCTGACCAATCGCCGCACCACCGTTGGCGCTGTCCTTGCCAGTCTGTCGACAATTGTTGTGATGCTGTTGCTGCTGTTGTTGAAACTTGGCAGCCCGATTGAGCTCGTGACGTGTCACCAGCGCGGTACCGGTAATGTTGCTACCCCCATTCAAGAATTCTTCGCCATTCACGAGTATCGATGTAGCTTGCGTAGCGTTTGTGTTGTCGTCCTTTTCAATGGAATCCTCTCGTGAGCTGGGCGTGTTGCCACTGCCGCTGCCGCCGCAACTGCGCGATTTATGGAAACGTTTCGTCGAAAGACGAAAATAGCCACGTATGCGTTCCTGCTCATCTCTGTTCATAGAGGGTGTGCGGCGTGCGGGGGAAGAAGAGCAAAAAAAGCAAATAATTGTAAATAAATACAAAGTATATGTCCTGATATGGCGATACAATGTTGCCTTTTCTAGCGAAATACAACAAGCGCATCAAAAATGGGATTTAATTAAAATAAACCGTCTACTTGGATCAGTGAAAATCCTTATGGCTGATGGCTGATTGTGCGACTTCAGTCAAGCAGGTCGTAATTAGTAATTCAATGTCCTTGTTTTAACGACGACTATGCAAAATGAGCGTGCTTCGCGCAAAACAAACGTTCTCGCCGAGATTACGCAAGATTAATTAAAAGTGTCCAAAAATAAATAGAACTACTGACACAAATTCTAAGTGATACCAAAATAATACTGTACATATGCGGAAGAGTAGAATGTAGAACTCGCATATCCTTGGCAACATAATGGTGTTGGAAATTATAGCCTTTAACTTCAACTAGAAAACACGGCTTGTGGTGTGTTCTGAATAAAAAAAAAACGGTTTGAAAACTATAAATCATTGAAAAATGTACTGCTTTATTCATGGACTTCAATGCTTTTTGGTTTCCACAACTTTTATCTTGTATGTTAGAAGTCATAATTTGCTTCAACAGCTCACCTTCGTACTACGTAGATAGGATAATGTGCACGGATTTCGAAAAGATCAGAACTGTTGATCATTAAAATAATCGAGAACATCATTCTAGACTTTCAGAGATCAAAAGAATTTATCAGTAGGTAATATATTTTATCTACAGATATTTCTTAATTAAGCATTTTAAGTGTAACCCAGCTTACTTCTATAAGCTAGTTGAGTGGCTTTTCGGGTAGGCTTTCATAAATAATCGAAGGTTATGCCTCCTTCACTTACAGTATTCGCTGACTATAATTCGATTGTATGTGGGTTCGCCTGATACTTCCGTCCTGTTTTTAATGTGAAATAGTTTTATATTCTACAACTGAATACCTCTGGTCGCCTTCAGTAGCCTTACTGAACTAGATCTGACTTCACCTCGGTGTAACCTTACCAAAACAAAAATGTTTTTTTGTGATAGTCGCAACTTTCATCTTTTCAAACCTGACTAATCTTTGGACTTAAAGCCTAAAACAAACCTTCCCATCAATTTTAGATAGTGGCAGAAAGAGAGGGAAAGAAAGTACTTATATCCAGTTTTTCTGGCATTTCTCACTAAGAAACAAATCTTACCGAAATTTAATTGAACATGTTTCGCTTAACTTGTCCTATCTGGACATATTCCCTTTCCAAAGAGAATTTAAATATACATAAGTGAATGGGTTGCAGAAAATTGTTTATCCAGACTGCCAAACTCCATGGTCAAAACAAATTTTATCTGGTGAAGGTGAACAGAGCATTTTTTACAGATACTTTTATAATTATACCTTTTTAGATACTTTAGTAAATACAATTTTCTCAGAGCAGCGACCGCCAAAGAACTCCTGTGAACATTACTTCTTTTTATCAAAAGTGCTAAGCTTCCAAATTTATACCTCGAGAGCTAAAAATTAAATATTTCTCAAAAGCTTTTTTATAACTTTTTCACCCTTTGTTACACATTTAAAGTACCATATGCGAGCTTACTAAGGATCTGAAACAGCTTTTCATTAAGCGCCATCAAACATTCGTCGAAATACATTTCAGTTCTAGAATAATATTAAAACTAATTACAAAATGACGTATCAAAGTCAAATAGATTCATCCCAAAGCTTTATGTAACTTCTTCAAGTTTTTATAATGATTCCCAGGATCGCGGCTAACAAATCCCATACACCACAATATCATCAATTTACCTACAAATTAGTCATATTGGCTTATGCTCCCTTATATATAATATATACATACATATGTACACATAATTAAATTAGCTAAAGTGGCATCAAAGGTTCAACAAGTTGCTTGCCTTTTATTTATTCTTCACTTTCGTTCTCTTCTATTGCCTTCAATTCGGTGAATATTTTTTATGACAGTGTGATCTGAGTCGGGTCACTGAGTCAAGTCTCATTGTTGATTTTGACCGCTTTCTTATAGCAATTGTTGTTGTTTTGTGGCTCTGCTTCTTAAACAAAGCAAACGCTCACCACAGTATCGGCGGTATAACGGTGTTTTTGCACTTAAGCTCAGTATAAATGGCAAGGCAAACAAAATGAGTGATTATATTGTGACATTGTGTGCAAAGGGATAGAGACAGACAGAGAGAGAGAGAGAGAGAGATGGAGAGAGCGAGAGAGAGAATTGTTAAGAATTGGGAATATTGATAGATATTGAGTATGAATTTCCCCGAGGGAATTTCAATTGAACGGAAAATAAGAATACAATTTGCATTTTGGAAATTTCAGGTGAAATTGAAAATTTATTTCCTATGAATTAAATGTCAAGAGCAAGACTGCAGGGAAACAATGGATCATCTCTTGTACACTTGTCTCGCATTGGTAAGGCCATGCTTCAAGCATGCCACGGTATGAGAGAATGGATATGGAGGTATCGATAGTGAGGCCACAGAGTCTATTGCAATTCGCGTCAAGCGCAGGCAACCTAAATGATGACTACTTCTCTTGGTCTTCGTAACGGAGCTTCATTTGGTATCGCAAAGGACCAAAACTAGTGTTTGCGTGGCTCATTAGCCTACCAGACTAACCGAATCTAACTTAACCGCGGGGGCTACAATAGACGACTATACAAAATGCACAATGCCTGTATAAATATTATTAAAAAATCATATTTAACTATAAATATACAACAGCATATACGAGGACTTCGGTACTACCAATAGAGCTCTTAAAAAACATCAAAGTTCTACATTCTGCAATACGCAATACTGGACGTCAGAAATTAGGACATGTACGAAAATACTGCATAAGGATTCAAGACATTCTCAATTTCTTCGAGAAAAATTAATCAGCGGAAGTCATGTTATTATTAGAGATATTTACAAACTCTACAACTAGTTTCATATATGTATAACCGAAAGTCGGTAGCAAAATCCGAAAGAGTAAGCGAAAGTCAATAAAATGCTGTTGGAAAAACTGTAGATCTAAAAACATAAGAAAATAACACTTTTTCTCAAAAAAAGTGCAGTTAAATTGCAAGATGACGGAGAGCACAGAGAAAGCGGAGAACAAATAAAACCCTTAGCCTTGAAACACTCCGAATCCCTCAAAATTAATGCAAAATATGTGCTTAAAATAATATTATGATGATATATGTGGTATCTCTCTCCTGTTCCTGATATTTAATTACATTTCCTATGAGAAAAATATGAGATTAGGATTTCGAAATGTTTGAGGGCTATTTTATACCAAAATAATAATAAATAAAACTTCGTCCCACTGTAGGTATAGTCAAAACATCGATTATATAAAAAAAAAAAAAATCATTGCACAAAAAAGCACATCGAAGTACTTTAAGTACGGTTCCAAGCTGTTAGGCACTCTTTTATGTCTCTCCTATGAAAGTCCCTAGACTAAGGTTTCTAAGATAACAAAAAACTTTAAACTTATTTATGGTTTACATACTCAGGAAGAAATAAATAGTTGCATACAAGCCAAATAGTTGCTATAATACGAACGTGTGGATGTTTGATCTTCTAACACACCCCGGTGCTGTCTTAGTTTAGCAGCACACATAACATAAAGTTAAATAGTCAGCAATAAAATCTAAGCCATTGGTCTTCCCATCCAAGCAGCTATTTACATAATTAATTTCACTAAGTATATGCAGTTAGCTGGTCATTTGAGCGCATAAATACTATAACGCCACGCACAGACTTGCATACGAGCAAAATAGCACACTCATTTCTATTAAGTCATACCCCACACCTTTCCCTTACAACCATTCTTACCTGGGTAGTATCTGCGAAGCATAAATGCAGGGAAAAATGACGGTGGGCAGAAAAGCAATCCACACAAACATCAAATAGGTGAAGTCGAAATGCTTCTGATTCTCATAGGTCTCCTCCATGGACAGACGTGCGAAGCGTAGAATCATTAGCGGACACAGGCAAAGTATCTGAGTGGCGGCCATGCTGCCGAAGTTGCGTTGCTTCCGTTTCTCTCGATAAACATCCAACTCGGCGCTGTACAAGTCATATGAGCGGGTCTTCGTTGTCGCGGACCCAGTTGTCGAATGCACGGATGAGGTGTTGTGACCCAAACCACCGCCACCTCCGGCACTGACACCGCCATTTGTGTGTGTGGTGAGCGCTGAGCCGATACCAGAGGTGGAAGTGATTGTGGCGCCCACGCTGCCACCCACCGAAGAGGCTGATGAGTTGCTGTGAATGAGAGGTAAAGAAGGCGATGAGTACTTAGTTACAACTAATATGTCTAAGTGTGGTTGTGTGTGTCTCTGTGTCTCATCCCTAGCTACGCATATATCGTCCGGCTACTAATAATGATATTAAATTTAGTTGGTGGTCTATGCGTAAGCAACAACGCCCTTCAGATACAGTTACAAACATACTTTGAGGCTTCTGGTTGCGCAATTGTGTAAGTGAAGTCGCCTGTTAATTCACTGTTGCGTTGTCCAGGTGAGACGACAGGCAAATTGTGTAGGAGACCTGATGATATCCAATGGTGCGTAAAATATTTATAATGTCATTAGTTGTTGTTGTCTTGCTTAGTTACCGCTATGAACGAGCATAATGAATGATGATTAGTTGGGGCGTACAATGTCTTGGACTAAATCACGGCGCATATGCTGCCCTGACTGATGACATTACTGGGGAGAAGTTTACGACACTTTATTATATTTGTATGGTGGCTTAGCAGGTGATGAAGCTAAGCTAGTAGAATAGAAGAATTATGACTTGCCAGAAGTAAATCGTAAAACATTAATTACAATTTTGGAAATATTGAAACACTTCGTGGATAATTCATTACTTTAAGCAGCTGGGTTATTTAAGCTCTCTTTTTTTTTAGAATGCTTTTTTTGAGCATTTTTGACAAATTGTTTTAGAGTGATCTACTTAATTATATTGTTTTTTTTTAGTTTTCGTCATTATAAAAGTAAACTAATAAATCATTACTAATTTGTTTCAAGAAGTACTAAAATGGGAGGTGAGCAATTTTTATCCACTGAACATGGTATATTATTGAATGAAAAAAGTTAGAAAAATAAATTTTCTATTTTTATTTCTTCTACAATATTTTAGTCGGAGCTTTTAGTTTTTAGGTCCAGTAAAAATAACAAGCATCGTTGCTATATCGAGAAAACTAGTCATGCAGGCTAGAAACAGGTTCTATGAAATGAAATAGTACTCATTTGGGTAGATTTTTCTTAAAAGTATTAGACGGCCGTTTTGCGTCAGAACTACCCAAATTCAATGATTTCAACAAGATAGTTCAACATGTCATGTCTTTAACAAATTTGGTCGCCCAATTTGCATTTCTTTCTTACGTATATAATGTCATTAACTGCTCCTTAACTCATAACTTTTTGAGCATACTTTAGAAGCACAGCTTTTAACACAAATTTCGAGAGAACTTTCAAAATAGAAATAAATTCCATTGAAAAGAAAATTTGTTCACTGAGAACCTTATGATACAGAGAAGACAAACGTGGTATGTTTTCGCAATTCACTTTCGCGTAGGTATATTTTCAAAAACAGCTATTTATACTCAATTGTGCTATTCAACTTTATTCGAAGCCACAAAGCGACAACTGACATTATTCTTTCACTGCTTCAATTGTACTTCTTCGTTGCCTTTTACTGTAAGAAGATTACTTCCACACTTCTGCATTTATTTTATAATTATTTTTGCTATTTTTAGAGCTCTCATTGAGTCAAAGCAACAAAACAACAATTACAAACAACTGCAAACGTAATTACGCAATTCACTTTCTATTATAACTGCATTTGTAACGCATGAAGTGAAGAGAAAAGCGCAAACAGGCAGCTATAGAATCAGAAAGTTAAGCGCACTCGAGGTGAGCCCTTGGCTTTGCTCGGATTATCTTGGTTTTCGTAACGCTGCGGTGCATCATTAACCGTTATAATGAATCGTCATAGCTATTTTTACTGGCAGATGTATTTCCTCGCTTTCGTCACGCGAAGTTGGCGCAAGTGAGAGGTTTCAATGAAGTTTGTGTACTATTAAAGATTGACACTAATAGGTGTCGCTCTTCGGTGAACGATTGTACCGTTTGCAAGTCTATTTCTGTTCTGCAGATTAACCAACTTACTTTCAGTTGCTTTATATTTTCAAAACCTTTGCGTAATGACAAGAATCAGGGCTAAAATGGAGAAAATGATCTGAAGAAACTGTATACAGTTTGAGTATAAGATTATCAAAACTGTCGACTTAAAAATTATAACAGAATTTGAGTTCATATTCGAAAACCTGATATTTATTAAGATTTATATGTTTCATACAACAAAGATTAAACTTGCGGATAGGTACAAGTAGTTACTGAATCTACACATAAATGGTTAGTCTATAGTTAATGAAGATTATAAAAGTATGATGCATACAATTTTAATACTTATATCCGCTAATATTGATTTATGTATATGCAAATAGAGCAGAATGTTGTAAGAGAGTGGCAAAAGAACACTCCAACATTACGTTGTCTATTTTTTTACTCGAATTTCATATCAAGTAATACATACCGTTGGCGATTTCGCATATCCGCGCGATGCTCGAACATCATAACGGCAAACGGACCGTCAGGTGGTCGCAGTTCCTGGGAAGTTCTTATGTAAAGATAAGCCAGCAGAACGGAGGGTGCACAGTACCTGCAAAAATTGCGATAAATTAACAAAAAGTAAAAACATGCCAGAGCAAATAAAGTAACAAAAGCAAAGCAAACAACGGTGCAGACTTGGAAAGGAAGCATTATTTGTGGTAAATAGAAAATGGCGCTTACAAGCACGCACACTCTCGGTTTTATACTCAACTTCAGTGGCACGCTAGCGCTACAAAATATGGTGAACATTTCGTTTGCATTTCAAAATCCAAATATAAATCTTTGTCTAAATGTACATTAAGCGATCAGCAATGACTGCTTAAATTTAAAAAGCTAAGACCACTTTGATAGATGGGCCAAAAGCCAAGTGTAGCCAAGCGTTGAGCTGGCATGGGCTGCCGCTGCCTTTGCTTTGAGTCCAGCACGCTCTATTGTTGTTCTTGTGTTAAGTAAGAATAATGGTTTTAGGAATCGTGCTCGCACAATTTGCATTTTAATATTATATTGACAAATTTTTATTGTTTAATGCCTGGTGCTTAAACTTAATAAACATGAATTGTAGCGAAACAAATTTTTTTTCTTATTTATCGCTATAAGTGTTTGTAAATATTATATTATGGAATACAAATATTGGAACAATACTTTTCTATTTCTTGTAAGATTGCTGGAGATGTGTGAATACTTCCGGTTTAGTGTTATAGATTGCTAACTGAGTACTTTGACTGGGTAAAACAAAAAACATACATTTCTAGTTTTAAATTTTATGGAAAGGCTATACTAAAGCTCCCCTTTGTCTATAAATTGTCATTTAAAAAACAATAATAATTTATAATTTAACGCTACTTACATTAGTAGAAAGAGCCCACGCATATATTCGTGCATATCATCCATTAAGTTGACCACACATAGGCCGATGCCATTCAGCTCTGGCACATAATCCTGGAAATGTAAATGAAAATTTGTTTGAGTTAATAAATTTTTGGAGAAAAATATTTATAAATAAAACTATACACATATAAAGATACTCGTATTTACCATACATATAAACATATTAATATTTTTATGCCCGATCTTTAGTTAAGCGATGGTAATGGTGATCTTGCCGCACAAAATTGTCATATTAGGAGTGCTGATAATCCACAAGCCGTTGGTGAGACACCGTTGCATCCTACAAAAGTCAATGTTTGGTGTGCTCTATGGGCAGAGGCAATCATTGGTCCATATTTCTTCAAAAATAAAGTCAGCTATGGTGTTACAGTCAATGGGGAACGCTATAGAGCCAGGATTAACGACTATTTCGTCCCTGAATTGGAGGATGTGGATCGGTACGACCTTTAGTTTCAACAAGACGGAGCTACATGACATACAGCCAACGAAACAATCAAATTATTGAAGGAAACTTTTGGTGAGCACATTCTCTTGCGTCGTGAGCCTTTGACGCGTCTCCAAGATCGTGCGATATAACAGCGCCGGACTATTTTTTGTGGAGTTAGGTTAATTCGAAGGCCTAGGGAAAAGATAAGCTCGAGGCGATTCATGCTTTGGGAGAGAATATTCCGCGCGTTATTGCTCATAAACAGCCCCAATTGCTGGCAAAAGTGGTCGAAAATTGGGTCCCTGGGCTGGAATTTATTCAAGGCAGCCGCGGCGATCACTTGCACGAAATCATTTTTAAAACTTGTCATGTCACATGTCAAACCATTATCTTTATATGATGCTAATTTCTTGGCCATAAAGTAACTATATACATTTTTTTTCTGCCTTAAAGTATTCTATACAGTTATGTGTAAATAATAAGTATGCTAAGTAACCTCTCATTCCAAATATATATAATTATGTTTAATTCGTCAGCAAGCTAGAAACAAGCTTTGCAGATCTTACGCTTTCAAAAGTCACTCAGCTAAAGAGCCTAAAAGCTGAAAAAAGAGCTGAGTTACAAGGTTTCTGCAGGAAATTGAAACCCAAGCGGCACAAGTTAAGTGCCAAAGCAGAGAACATAGCTTGAGATCAACATACATATATTTTATTAAATTTTTGTACTAATGTGTCTTTGTATGTAGAAATATACTATTAACAATTGGAAAAAAAGCCTCTTTTTCTACATTTACAGTTCTTCTAAGTATAAGTAGCTACAAATATTATCTCTTTTTGAGACTCTCGACTAATCTTTTGAAGTCAACCAAAAATTACGGAAGTATATGACTTAGTAATAGTTGAACTTTTTTTTTTGTACACTTCATTAGAAATGTTTTCAAGTTTTTGTACAATACTTAAAATATCGGAAATATCCGGAGGGGTATATTTTTTGTGAGTGCACCAAGCGCTGATTTTTTTCTCAAGCAACTTCTGCAATTCACTGATAAACAGAAATGGGTTGATGTTAGCCGTTGCCGACTTAATTAAACGGTCCTCCCTCAGCGGCCACGACAACCCTCTAATTATAACACCTATATTTCCACAAATAAAACTAACACTGTTAGATATTTTGTAGTTAATAATTATTTCCAATACAATTAAAGAAGTTGTAAAAGGTCATATCCGCGGAACTAAAGCGAAAGAGGCCTTTCATTTAATATGAGAGTTGAAGACGAAGGAGTAAGAATGCTTAATGCTCAGTCTTGAATAAGATGGTCAAAAATCAACAAAAAAGTTTTTTACTAAACTTTGCTTACCATAGTTCGCTCATTTTCATTTCAGATTTTAATTTTTTATACACATTACAATCATACTAGAATTTGACAGAGATAAACAGGATATATGGAACCAATATACAATTAAGATAACATTTCACACCAGCTAATCATTTCAGGCTGCTTCTACTTTTAATCACTTCTTAAAAAAGCACTTGAGAAACACTGTTTATTTGTTTGTATCTTTGTAAATCACATTGGAGAGCTTCAGAGCTGAGTAAATATGTTTAGGGATTTGATTAGAAAATTAATATTTATTCAAAAGAGAGCAGTAATCTATATACTTAGTTAACACCAAAGAAGCACCAGCTGCCAAGCTTACGCTCAACATAAATAATAACAAAAAAGTTTAGTATACTTATTGATGCGATTGATTAACATGTAATAGTCACCCAATGAAATATATATTTGTATATCTATGTATATACATTATGTCAATATATCCTTCTGGTCTATGAGTATGTACACGATTACCGACACAAGAACACTCTTAACGATTTTCCAAAGAATCTAATCAAATATTTACACTCCCACTGTAATTTCGTTCCAATTTACTTAACCGCGATACCCGAGTTTAAAGCGAAGCGTTTTGGGGTCGGCGTGGCTGCGAATTCAAGTGGAGCATTGAATCAAAGTTGAACCGTTGACACCGAAAAAGACATGTGTAGACAAGTTGTTGAGTCGTTGGTGTTGGGAACCGACACACCCCCCACCGAGCTTACATATCTACAAGAGCATACTTATGGCAGTATACATAACAGACATCTCGAAATTGCCACTGGAAGTGCTCGCAATTCGAGTTCGGTCGCCAACTTTGACAGCGTTACGCCCGTTTATTTGATTGTTGGATCGCGTGAATCATTTGAAATTGCTGTGCCATAAAAGCTCAGCCCTTACTCATCGAGTACAAGAGGCAAACATTCGGAAAACGACTTGTACTACATATGTACATATGTATGTATGTACGATTATGTACGTGTGCATACTTAAACACTTTAAATATATGTACGACGTTTACTTGTATGTCACTTTGATTGCCACGAGCAATTTTATATAAAAATCGAAAACCCGTAAATTGACTTGGGAATTACACTTTTTACAAGCAGATTGTTGGCAATAAGTAGGTTGGACAAGAAATCAAATAAACATTATGCAATTAAATTGATTCGCCTAGATACAGATTTATAACGTTGTGTATATGTATACTTGTATGGGATTAGTTGGTAGTTTCAAAAGACAATAAATATTAAATAAATTTTGGACGAATATTAAAGTTTTTAATAAGCTTGCCCCCATTGAACTTTGGCATGTAATGCATGTTAAATAAAAATATTTTTTTTAGGAGAGGGAATAGACTTTAAAGAGTTGATTGCAAGAAAGAGACAATAAGTAAATGTAAATAATTATAACGTCTTGTAAAAATATGGGTCCGCGATTGTCGTGGGGACAGCTACTATTTCCTATTCATATGTATTTATTATTTTAATTTATTAGAGAATTTTCGATACTTCAGGATACGTATGAATACACTCCGTAACGATTTTCGATCCAAATCGCGTTTCGCAATGCTTTGTTTAAGGCTTAAGGGCTATATTTTTCAGAAAATGCATAAATGGTTTCAGTTTGTATGACAGCTATATGCTTTTGTGATTCGATCTGAAATATTTCCTCGGACATTACAACGGCGCCTTGGGAAATAAGCCATGCCAAATTTTGTGAAGAAATCTTGTCAAATGACAAAGTTTTCCATACAAGCACTTGATTCCGATCGATCAGTTTGTATGGCCACTTTATGTAATAGTGATCCGATATCGATGGTGCCAACAAATAAACAGCTTCTTAGGGCGAAAAAGATGTGTGCAAAATTTTAGATCGACATTTCAGAAACTGAGGGACTAGACATGGCTAAATGGACTCTCGTCCCGCTGATCATTTATGCCTGCATATATTTTACAGGGTGTTTTTTCTAGCTGTTATAAACTCCATGGCAAACTTAATATTCTTTTACCTTGTTCAGGGTATACTTATCAGCCATTGTGAGGTGGCTTAAAATGTGTAAAATCCATGATTTGGCAGGAAACATTTAGACCCACACTTAAAGCAATAGTCTCCTGAGAAACATATCTCGATCAATTATTTATATTTTATGTTTTGGGTAGATTTAAATCGAGAGAGTATTTTTTGAGACAAAGAGTTTGTATTACCATGGTCAGATCAAACAACAGTACCCGGATCGCAATCGTACAATTATTTCCCAGCTTTTAACATACGAGTCAATTTGAGACAAAGAGCGCCTACAATAAGTGTTGGTTTGACTGCCAAGTTAATAATAACGGCAAGATAGTGAGTAGTGAAGCTTAACTTTTTCGAAATGTTGCCAAGCGTCTGCTTATAAGCCAACGAGTGTTGGGTAAGTTGTCGGGTATCGAAAAATATATATTTTTAAATTTGATGCAGATATTCGGTAATTTCATTTTGATTTGATGATCCCAATCGTCAATTGGGAAATCCCAGAAGATAGACATTGAAAATTACCGTTGGTCTACAAATTTTTTTGGGTCAACATGGCCATTGTTATTGCCTAAACGACTTGAGGAGGCTAAGCCTAGGACTTATGTAACTCAAACCAAAATGAACATCATAACCTTTTCTGTGTCATGTTTAAGCGTCAAATTAAATAAAATTTAATATCAATGACACGGCATAATAAATTTATAAAAACGTGCATACTAAATTAGGATCTGTTTGTTTACATAAGATATGTTTCTTACATATAACCGCCAGCCAATTAACATTTGCGCCGAAAAGAATTTTCCCCACACCAAATGACGAATGGCCACCGAAGCAATTGATGTTCATTTTGACAAGTGATTCAATTGATTTTTGTTTATATTCGTAAAGCAAAAATACAGTAAACGCACACAGCACAACAACGACCTGAAGAGACCTACATTTCTTCGACGTTTAACGGACATATTCGTAGTACCAAATGACAAATTACAACATAGCGTAATGGGAAAGGGAAGAGGCAAAATGCAAAATGAATTTTTAATATTGGCTGCACACGTGCCCAGTTGGAACTTTGGATATTTATTATGCAGAGAGGCATATGTAATTACGTGGTTACACACTCTTGCAATAAGCAAATGAGTAAATATGTGAGCGACTTAATATTGCTTATAGCCTTGTAGGAAATGCCTATCCTAAACAAAGTTTTAACACCAAGATAATCACGCTCAATAATAAAAG